GCACTAGTCTAGACTTCACGTAATGTATGCGTGCGCTCTGTAGGGATGTTTTGAATGGTTTTTGCAAAATACTCGATAATGTCAAATTGCACATCGTTAAAACAAAAATTACGATATTATCGCAGACAATATATATAGCACACCCCTAGATGGAAGTGATGTACACTGTAAAAAATGACCGTGAATTTAACGGTAAAAGACTGTAGGTAGAGAAATTGTGATGTGTTCTTTGCTACAAACTTGCACTTGCAGTGGAGCTAGCCTGAGGGCATTATGCATCTAAAATAAATTTTGATGTATGAAGCAATGATTAAAAACTTTGTCTAACATGATGTGTGAACATGTGAATAATAATAATAATAAAAAAACATGAGAATAAAAACCAGCAAGAAACATACTTTACAATACATTTATATTGTAAAGAATTTGTGCTAAAAAAAAACACACAAAAAAAAAACTTTTTTTTTTCCTGGTATGTTTTAGGACTGCACTAATATTTAAATTGCAAATGTTTCTCTTAAACGTGTTGGAAATAGCTTTGGTAAACAACATTAACTTTGGTAAATTTTCAAACATTTTAGTACCTGGTATGTTTTAGGACTGCACTAATATTTAAATTGCAAATGTTTCTCTTAAACGTTTTGGAAATAGCTTTGGTAAACAACATTAACTTTGGTAAATTTTCAAACATTTTAGTGCAAAACTAAAATTCTGTTCCACCCACAATCCGGGAAACTCATGAATTGTCATGCATGCTCCGCCCACTGAAACCGAGCATCTCGAAACACTGGGCTGCAGCGGTACATACTTGAGGATCAAAGCGAAAGTAAAATGCATCGGCCTAAGCTGTCATTTTATGAACACAGAAACATCTTAACACTTAGTTTTCTTAATTTAGATTTTCTGGATGCAACATCATTTAGATGAAATATGACGGCTGTCCATACATTTCTACGCAGGTGAGTACAGAACTGCGGTAAAGTTGTTTTCATATTGGATATTCGTTAGACATTCACTCTCTGATGAGTCATTGCAAAATAGTGGTGGTTCATATTGTATCTCGTTCAGATCGTGCACCAAGCATACTTTTAAAAAAGTAATTATGATATTATTCAATAATGCAATTGTTTTAAGCATGAAAGATGAAAAACTCTAGCTAAACGGCGAGCTCAACGAGTGTCTCAAAAGTGCAAATCGCACTAATATCCATAAGTTTATACATTATCCCAGTTCTGTAATAAACCTACTGTATAAAACGTGTAATGATCACGATGGTTAATATATTAAGTTAGATTAAGGTTTAATTTTTTTTACTTTCATATGATTTATATCCCTGTTATAATGTAGTCTACAAAATAAACTGAATGCTGGCATTAAATAAATCGTACAACTCTTTGGTCATCTGTCCCAACGATGTCGCACCAGTTGTAGTATCTTCACACACACCTGACACAAATCATACATGACTTGGATTTTAGAAATATGATTTTGTGTATTTTTGGTGAATTTTTGAAATATTCAAATAGCCTATGTATATAACTTCCTGAATATGTGACCTGATGACGTCACACCACTTGTAATATTTCTACACAATCCTGACAGTGACACACATCATACATGACTTGGATTTTGGATTTTTTTTTTCATGAATTATTGAAATATTAAAATGACCTCATGTTGCCACACTCACTGTATTATATTCACAAACACATTGTACATTAATCTGTTTTTGGAATATATCTTAGTTGATTTAGACAATTATTTGAATTATTGAAAACTTTTTTACTAATGTGACTCATGTGAAATTATTTTGAAATTGAAAGTGGATGTGGCAACGTGACGTCACATGACCAGGAAATTTAATAGGTTAAAACAGGTTTCAATATTTAAAAAAAATATATACAATCAACAAAGATATATTCCCCCAAACAGATGAATGTACAATGTGTGAAAGATGTGTATGAATATAATACAGTGGGTGTGGCAACATGAGGTCACATGGAAGTTATATATTTTAATATTTCAAAAATTCATGAAAAATACACAAAATCATATTTCCAAAATACAAGTTGTGCATGATGCGTATGATGTGTGTGAAGATATTACAACTGGTGTGACATCATCAGGTCACATGACCAGGAAGTTATATGCATTTGAATATTTAAAAAAATT